GGGGGGTGGAGGGTGTCATCTCACCTTCACTTTGTTGTTATAGAGACTGTCACAGCACCCACTGAAATTTTCTTTATACATATTTTTAAATTCCAGGGCAAGATCTTGTTTCACTCTTTAACTTAGTGTCACACTCTGTGCTTCTAAATTTATTTYTAAGCTTACGTTGTTCAAAGGGCACTTTCAGTGATATGGAATGAAAGCTAAATAGCAGTTGCCCTGTAAAGTGATATATTCCCTAAAACAGTTTCCAGTGGGTATTATAAAGCTCCAGCAGGCAAGCTCTCAAGGGGCATAACTAGGTAATGCATCAACAAAGACACATAAAAACAATAGGCAGCTGGGCTGCTATTAAGAAATGAAGCAGAGGCCTTTGAKAGAGGTCTGAGCAGAGGCCTGAGAGGTAGAGGGGGAAAAAAGCAATTCGGTTAAATAAAAAGAACACCATACTCTGCATCTACATGGGAAACAAGCACGACCACTAAAAGCAAAACAAAACGTTCTCTTTGCACAATACATATTTTCCTTCCTCTTGGCTTGACTAAAATACACTTTAAACAGAAATTCTCAGATATGGTTCCACTTTCATGGACACTATAATAATTTTGGGGTCCAGGCACCTCTGCAAGAGGCGGTATGAACTCTAAATCTATGTTGATATCCACATGGGGGCACAGTTGTACTTGCATGAAGTCCCATTGAACCGAATGGTACAATAGCCCTCCCTCAAATTGTAAAAACAACAGCAGGGCGTTTACYTTGTCGCCTCGCTAGAGAATTTGGCACCAATCTTGATCTTATTTTATCATTTCTGAGCAAGTTCTTAGTCCCACTGTTAGCAAGCTTTGCTTTCCCTCTAAGCTACTCATATATCAACAGTATTGCGGAATATAGCAGAAAAAAAAAAGATAAATTGCGAGACTAGTTAGTTCATTTTTTTTTAATTTATTTTAAGAAACATCAGTGATATTAGAAGTGAAGATCACCAGTGGCCAATGGAGATTTGTTTTTTTGCCCTGACTTACAGTCTAGGATATGAATGACATCAGCGGATTTATAATCACTGAATATATATATATTATATATATATTTGGCTTAATAATCATATAACTGTAATATCAGTTTGATTTGAAATGTGCAAATGAGTTTGAAATTTGTGCAACCATTTTGTGCTCAGAACAGTAAATTCATGTCTGGGTACTCCAATACTTAAAAAAAAAAGGCAAAAAAGAAACTGGAAAGAATTACAACCATGCAGATCCAGTACCTAGCTCTATAAATAATTTCTCTATCCTGATGTATTTCACATTCAAGTCGAGCAAAAGGAAAATGGGACAGAAAGCAACAAGAAATGCAGAGAGAAAAAGCTAAGTATTTTGCAGAAGGAATGAGTGACTAAGAACATAAATAATTAGTATTTACACTGAGATTCCCATGGGCTGATTTTGTCCTGACATAAACAGAAACCAAGCTTGGTCTTCAGCCTGTTAACTTGGGCAATACCGTGCCCGTTTAGGTTCTYGCAAAACCAATTGGTAGAGGCACTTTCTACAGTCCAGCAGCCAAGCATCCTGCGTGTCATTAGCCTGCAACACAAGCGCCATCAGGAAAAGCATCTGCCCTTTGCTTCTCATTCCCTCATTCATGGATCCCAACGAAGGTTGTTTCATACTTGGCGAAGGCCCCCACGTTCAGACACAGTCTTGTGCTGCACACTTGCCCCTCTTCCAGCTTCTGACCTTGGGCCGCAGCAGAGCAAGTCCCCGATCTAACTGACATTACCTGTCATACAGAAAAGAATCAGTTCAGGCTCTTAAATCAAGCTGAGGTCTTAGAGGGAGCACCATGAAGATAGGTTTCAGAAGATCCAGCCACATTTTTGCCAAATCCATGAGCTCATCTTTTGCATTTCATCTTTCATTGCCTGTGATTTTAATTCTGTATAGTTAATTTTTTTTTGCAAAACCATTACAAAATGGATCAACAAAACAAAAATTATATTCCAGAGTCCAGGGGACTTCTTGGCTTTGTGAGTTCCAGGCTAGGAAAAATACCAAGTTTTCAACTTGTGCTGTTACCAGTACAAACAAGGAACGATGAGGGAACAAGGCCCACCTTTTTATTCAGCAGGACATAAAACCTACGATAAACAGCAAGGAATTAGCCCCTCTCTTTTCCCAGAGCTCACTTCTTTACTTCATCACCTTACTTACCCACATTATTGTTTCTTTCCTAACTCCTTGCAGCCAAGCCCACAGTCTTTTAGAGCTGCTGCTTTTAATGGGCAGCCAAAGATGGGAGAATAATTAGAGCCTGCATTAACCCTTGATAGGGTTCAGGTATATGGAGCATACACACGTGCCTCAGCACAGCCTGGACCACAGGCAGCTAAGGATCCAATTATTGTCTCATTTTTAACTTACAAAATTTACTAGAAAAGTTAGTATTTCACTCTACTGAAATACTAATCTGCATATTAACATGAGATAAAATTCAGTGGCTTAGTTATTTCTCTTAATTTCCAAATGGGAGTGAGATAAGTTTTCTTTTTTTTTTTTTTTTCAAATTTAGTTTTCTGCAGTTTTCCTGTGTGTATTCAATAAAAAAAAAAAAAAAAGGAGGAGGGATAGGTAGGAGGGACATATTTTTTTTAAAGTCATACCCCAGGAAATGACATAACGTCATCCTTACTGCTAGAAGAAAGAGTAAACCATCCAACTTGCGCTTGTCTCCAGTACGTTGCATGACTTAAGACACTTATTTCTAATCAAGACAAATGCTATGTGAAGAGGTGTTACCAAAGCAGAAACACATTAAATATATTTTAAATGATTTTTAAGAGGTTTATAAAGGGTCCAATGAAGTTTTCTCTGAAATCATTAGGATCATTGCCATAGACTTTAGATGGGATGTTAGGAAAGACTTTCCCTGGAGAGAAGACAAAATATATGTTTTTCCACCAATTCATGACTCCCACAGTTATGCAAGTGGAAACAAAAGCTCTCTGCCAGCACTTGTCTTCTCATGACTCCAATATTTTATAGCAATAATAGGTATAAGAAATAAGGAAGCACCAAGTACTTACTAACCTGTTTTTCACATTTTAAGGGCAGCACTGACTGTAGAAACATACATTAAATGTTAGGAGCAAAGAGGCTTTTTTTCATTTGCTCCTCTTTCTAAATCCAGCTGGAGACTGCACTCATGTTCTTCACTCCTCCATAAAAACAAGAGGACACTGCCCTGCTCCCGCTCAGCACTCTCACTAATGCCCAGAGCAGCCCCTACAGTTCCTTTGGAGAAACAAGACGGGGTGCCACAAAATTAGCAAATTGGGCAAGTTATTTAAATTTCAGTCTGAAAATGATTTAACTATCAGTGGAAATGAAAGTGCCCACACACTTTTGCTTATTTTTCAAACTGAAATGCTGCCACTAGTATCAGATATAGCATTGCTTCTGAATTCCTCTGTATTTGAAATTAATAATCATATTGCAATATGCATCAATATTCCCTATTACTGTCAAGCACATGTTAGCAATATCAATTAAAAAAAAAAAAGAATACACAAGGAATCACCGAGATTGGCTATGTATGGAATTTTGGCAATGGTAAAAATTAAAAAAAACAGAACTCACCTTTTCAAATTCTAGTTTTATCAAGGTAGACAGAAAGCATTTCAGAGAGAAGTGTAATAATAACACTAAACTGACCTTAAAAATAATTAATATTGTAGAATATCACCTATTACTATAATGCATCACAGTGATGGTGTAACTTATTACAAAGAAAATGAAAATCACAAAACACAAGACTTATGTCAAATTCCCAAAGTCTCCTCCTCTTGCCTTTCCCTTTTCCCTTCCACAATCACATCTCTACTTTATTCACAAGTGCAACTGCAACAGCACTATGTAGCTATTTTCTGCATATTTTCTTTCAAAATTATTTCTCCTATAAATAGACATAAGATAAATTTCATAGATCACTTTCTTAATCTAAGCAATGTCTTGGCCTGCCAAGAAATCAATTAACTAGAACAAGAGACAGATATTCTTCAGTACTCAATTTTCTTTATCATAAGGAAAACACTTTTATTATGCACAGAGGACTGTAACTTACACCTGAACACAGTGAGCTTTCATACTTTGTTGTAAAGCCTATCTCAAGACATCTAGAAGGGAGCTTGCACATGCCTCAACCTAATATCAGTTTTCTTGATTGAAACATAAGAGAAAGAAATATTACTTTTAAAATTAAAAACTTTGAAACTCAAAGAGTACTCTAACTTGCTTTTCTGAAAGCATTTAAGTAGATTTTATGCTCAGCTCAGCTTCTCCTTTTTTTCCTTTTTTTTTTCTTTTTTTCTTCTATGGACTTGTCTACACAAGAAGGGCTAATGGGGAGGTGTATCATCCACAGTAAGCTGAAGTTCACTAACTGCTTCATGCTGAGTTTCAGGCTGCAGACATATTCACACAGCCAGCTGGCTCACAACTACAGCTCAAATAATTGCTTCCATATTTGCATGGACTTTCTTCGTATTGAACATTACATGACCTTAATCCATGTTTCTTTTTTCCATACTATTCTGTTAGCATTGTAGTATTTCACCTTCTGGATACTGGAATATACAACAGCAAAAGAATAGAACAGTTGTTTACTATTTTCCACGACTCTTCGCATGTCACCTCATAGCCCATCTCCTCCTTGTGCACTGGCCAACACCCCAAGCCAGATAAGCCACCGTATGGAAGTGGTGCTGCCTGCTGCATTTCTAGTTATCAGTGCAAGGGCACTTGGAGGTATATTGAACACTTTGCCAGGGTACAGCTTCCCAGTGCCAAGCCCAGAACCTGGTTACTGGAGAGAAACTGACCTATTTGCAATCACACCAAGATGACAAGGCACAAAACTTGCTCTAAGAGGTTGTATTGGAGAAGCATCTCTCAAAGCCACAATCCAAAGGACACGGCACCTCACCTCCCAGTGGTCAAATAGCCCATTTTCCTTGACAATGTTCTGTCAGAGAAGACGACTCATCAGCTAGAGTGGAATAAGGAGGGAAAGATGTCAGCATGGGGCACTTTTAACATCATMAGGGCTCTTCATAATAGTAGACATAGGAGAAAATCCAGCCAATCCTAAATTGAAATCATGTGTATCCTGCCACTGTAGGACTCTCCAGACTAACAAATAGGTTATAAAACATAAATATGTTTTTCTGGCTTGTGAGCTCAGAGGATGGAAGACAACTGTAAAGAAAATAGCTGTCTCAGTGTATTTTGGAAATCACTTTTTGTGAAGATTCATCAGTAATTTCCTAGAGATTGGCATGCCTTATCATCTATACTGACAATACCTGCTTAGTAGAAAAACATCTCTCTTACCAATGGATCTACGCACATAATATTCATAGGCTTCCAATTAACAACATCTATAATGGCATTTTGATGTAGAAACAGCCACATGCTTTTGAATAAGCAAAGCATCTCCTGTGCTCTTGCTACTGCTGTTACTGTAGTTCTTGGAAAAGCTATTCTGTACAACATAATATTTTCTAATAGGTTTGTTTTAAGTATACAGCAAAATGTTATGCTCATTATTTTGCAGTAACATTACCTATCAGTTACTCTCAACTGAGAATGATTTTTATTTGACAAGTGGATATCCAAAAGAATGGCTTAATAATCAGCAGAGCAAGTGGAGGATTACACTTGGCTGAAGTGATGCTGATGTTTTTTCATTACTAGGTTAGTGCTTATTAAGCAGTGTCTCCACCTTGTATTAAACGTTCATGTTGTATCCCATCAGTGAAAGCATGGGAAGGAATCTCTCCAGTCGTTGGAAGGCATTCAGGTCTGCAACAACACAAGCAGCCAGCAATCAGTTTTCTCTAAAATTGCTAGGGACACTTGCTAGGGACACATCTATCATTCTACTCACTACATAAAGACTTGTTCTTTAAATTAAAGATTTCAATTTCTGGAGGTATGTATTTTTCCTTGTAGCTTATATAATTTTTCTATGCATATTTCATGGGTAGTCTGTGCAATGCAACATGAATATTTCAAGGACTTTTTTTTCAGAGTGTCAAGGCTAGGAAGGTTCCCACTATTGGGTAATTATATTTTCTTACTACTCTTTTTTTTAAGCTTTGTCCACTGAATTAGGAAAAATTTAAGTATGAGTATATTCAGGATTAGGAAGCGTACTATACAGAAGTCCTATGATGAAAATACCATAGTCTATGAATATAATGACTTTTTTTGGGGGGAGGGGCAAAAGCATGAAGTGGCTATGTGATATTATTACTGAAATGAAAAATAGACAAAAGAACAAATATATAACCCAAAAATGAAATAAACAGTGTGGAAGAGTGCAGTGTGACAGCTTATCCACTCAAACAAATCTCTGTAAAATGGGAATTAAGTCTGAAATCCTACAGCCTCACAGTGCCACAATCTCTGTATCTGCTCAGCCCTCAGAGAAAGAAAACTGTCAAGATGCATCATTTGGGTTGAAAAACTGAAACAGCAGTTTCTGCAGCCACTGTACTTGATGCCTTTGCAATATTACCAATGGTGAGACTGGCCTATCTGGGATTTGTGGTAAGGAAAAGGGACTCACAATTAAGTCTGTCCCATCTCCACACAAGTGACACAGTCCATTACATTATGGACGGTACCCCATGCATCCCACCTGGAATCAGGACACAGCATGGGATCCACAGGCAGCCTGGATATGGGTGGTCAGAAGCTTTGCAGTTCTCTACTTTCTCAGCCCTCAGAAATCCCATTAAATTCCAACTCATACAGCCATCCTTCTCTCCGACATCTCAGAGCTGGACAGAATTTCCTCATTTCTTCTTCACCTCCCTCTTGTCCACTCAAATGGAGATGATATTGAAGATAAGCTAAATAATTAGCAATTGTTTCATTTTCACAGAGCCATGTTCTTGYCACAGTGCTGGAAGACTACGGGAGCATTGTAAGGACTGTTACCACTGTCACCTTGCTGAGGTTTCACACTGCACAGTGCAGTTGCCTAAAGATAGAGAAGCTGGATACCTTCTCTATTTCACTTCCAGCATGCTTCAAGGTCCACTGTCCTGGACTCTCCATGTGCTTCTAGCAAGAGTGACTGTTAAACATAATGGGTGAGCTGACACATGGTTGTTTCATACTGGATTATGGATGAAGCAGGACCAGTTATCAGGCTAATTATTAGTTACCCTGGCAAATCCGCAAGCATCTCTTGTAGCACAGGAAACACGACTAGGAAGCAGAGAAGAAGTTCCTTTATGAAGACCAGAGTGAACTCAGCAAAGCACATATTATGTCATTCACTAGCACAGTCCTGCCTGACACTTTGCCTTAGTGGAATGTCAAAACTCTTTGTTCTGGAAGGTGTGACAAAGCATCTATGCTTGATGCAGTTTGACTGTAATAAATTGTTTTCCTTATCTTTCTATCTTATATCCCCTGYAGACATGTAAAAAGTTTCCCGAGAAATAAATGGAGCTTTGAAATGATTGCTGACAATGTCTTCAYACTGATAGGTATTTTCACCTAATTATTCCACAAAATTATTTTCCTCCTTAGATTTCATTTCCTACAGCAACACTAAGTTTTGTGTAAAGGCAGAGAAGAAATACCTTTGTACTGCTGTAATGATCTGATCTACACGTGATTAAATCCTTCAGGAAATACCTTGCACATTGCCTCACTGTGCTTCATACACATGATAGTAATTGTCTACTGTCTATTAAAAAGTGCTTTTGAGAAGCTTTTCTTTTCAGATCCTACTTTCTGCTCAGGCCTTTTTTTTCAGGAGACCTTTCTTTGTTGTCAGGAGTAGGACTGCAGGCCAACCTCAGCTGACTTCTTACTCTCTTTCATGGACTGAAGCTCAGCTTTGGGGTCACAAGACTGAACTCTGTCCAGCTCCTCTTTACATAGAACATAAATCTGCACTGCACAAGAGGTACAGGGGAAGGGTTCTTCAGGGTTCTTCTTTCTTGCAGAGTAAAGTTTCAGATGCTTTTGATGCAAAGCTACCTGAAAGCTTATTGTAATGGCCAGCCTAAGGGCCACAGATATATGCGTGCACACACTCACTCACACTCATATAATAAAATATTCCTGCTATYGAGTTTCCTGAATTCTCATCTCACCAGAAATAAGCATAGCCTAAGCGAATTCTTGGCTCCCAACAGGATACTCTTATTTTCCCTGCATCTGAAGCCATCCGGAAATAGATCCTGGATCCTGGTTCATCATAAATAGAGCAAGGGTCAACAAGTAGGGAAAAAAAGGGAGGTGTCCCAGAGAGATACATTGTGGTGCAATGGTGGTTTCAGTGATGCCAAAATACTAGATAGATCAATTTTGTTAGGTATTAACTTCATGTACATTTAAAAATTACACTGAAGTTAACTTAAAAGCATTTACTATGCTTTAAAACAGAAGTACGGGATAAACAATATCTTGTCAGAAATATGCACTACAAATTGTATCTTGGCAGCATCACTGAAATGAGCATACTGAAGTGAATGATTTGTCTCAGAAACAGTTTCCTTTCCATCCTCCTTTAGCTGAAGCCTGTACRTCTCATTCAAGAAAAGAAAGCACACCGACCGGCACATTCAGAGGAACAAGGTGATGACAGCGTCCTACTAACTGTATAAAAATAGAACAGTTATCTGTGAAATTAATTAAAATTTTCCTTTCTGAACAGAAAGAACCACCTTCCTGGATATTTTTTTCAATAATAAATGCATGCTTAAATTCCTGACAAAATGTATATGAAAAGTTAATCTGCATCTCAAAACCATTCTTCACACGTTTCTTTCCCTCATCTTCTACTGCCAGCAGTCAGAAGCCAGCAGTCCTGACATCTTTGCACATATACTTGCTACTAAATGTCAGTGTCCAGACGAATTAAACCAAGAATATGAGTTCATTCTTTGTGTCTAACTGTCAAAAATAAAGGGTCAGATTTTCAGAGGAGATAAATCAGTCAGATTACCCCAGAGACAGAAGAGAGTGAGGAATAATTTAGGCCACAAATTTCAGCTGACARAAGCATAGGTAGCTACACACTGTCTCCTTCCAGTGGGATATGCCCATGTAGACAGTACCAACTTCTGAGTTATGTGGAAAAGACATACATTCTTCAATAGGCTTTTCATCATCATCAAGGCCTCAATTGTACCTGCTCTTGATTCGAGYTTATATTTGCTAAATTTTATTAAAATCAAAGTAGTACTAAAGAACCACTGTAACAAAGCTAATTGTAAACAAGGTCTGAAAGACTCTCTTCACTTGATTTAGCTACTTGMAAAGACAAGGCTATGACAAAATCCTAAGCATGCCTCATGTAACACTTCTACCTTGAGTGAGAGCAGATTTCTATATTCAAGTTGAAATGCACAGGTCACAACTCTCAGCTGTGTCTCAGGCTGTTTGCAGATTCAGAGATGTAAAAATGAAATCAGAATTTTTATATTATTTATCCCTTCTGCAATGTTGGTAGAAATATTATCTAATATTTAACTTGAAGCTTCTCTATTGAAAATCAAGCCCATTACTTTTTGTCATATCTGTTCTAAAGATGGGAAACAGACTGCTTCCTTCCTTCGTATGTTAGCCACTAACATATTTAAATGTTAATCATGTGTTTCTCTTCAGTCTCCTTTCAGGCTAAATAGTTCTACTTTGTAAAACAAGTTCTCTAGACATCTTAATTTTTATTATTCTGTTCCAGACGTTCTTCAACCGGTCTTGAAGGACACTGTCCAAGTCTGATTGGAGTACTTCAATTACGTCCCTTCTGATGCTGGAAGATTCACACATGTAGTAAGCTACACATCTCTTGATAGGTTCTAGTATGCTTTTATCCTGTTTTGCACCAGAACAAGACTTATGTTTTTAAGCTTAGCAATTTGCAGGCTCTTTTCCATAAATGTGTTCCCCTGTTTTTGCATGGCTGATTATTTCTACTTAAATTTACTTAAATCTACCCAAAGCACCTTGCATTTGTTCCTGTTAAAATTCTTTTTCTTTTTTTTTCTTTTCATATCATTTCTCATACTCATCAAAATCATTTTGAACACCAAGTCTATTTTCCAGTGTTCCAGCAATTCCTCCTTGCCTGGAGCTGGACAAATAATTCCAGAAATCTTGAAAAAGCTTTTGATCTTGATAGGAAACCACAAATTCTATGACTGTCATTTTCTAAATAGTTTTTTTCCTCACTTTTTAATGTTTTCATCTAGGTCTCATTTCTCCTGTTTGATGAAAGAACATCATATGTAATACTATCAAAATCTTCTTTAAAGTCAGAGTGCAGTGCATCTACTTCTTTCTGCTGCTGCTACTGCATAGTAAATGTCTTTGGAGAAATTTCTTCCAGGAATATGCTGTTTTCTGTTCTTCATTTCTCTGTTGTCTTCTAGGTATCCTCATAAACTCATTTAAATAATTAAATGTTAGACAAACTAGTTATTCTAAAGGTTTTATTCCATTCCATGGCAAAAAAGTTTAGGAAGAATCTTTACTTACTTTTGCAGATACAGTCTTAGATAAGATTCATCAGAGGAATCTTCCAAACTCTTCTTGCATCAAAAACAGCAGTTCCAGTTCCTTAAGGCAGCAGTTTCTAAAGATGTCAAGGCTAGTACTTGTCATTTTTGCTTAAAAAAACAGTTGAAACTGTACCAGTCAAGCAGAAGGTAGAGTTACAAGAGAGCTAAACATAATAAGAAGACACCTTGGAGAGGAGGAATCATAGAATCATAGAATGCTTAAGGTTGGAAGGGACCTCAGAGGTCATCTAGTCCAACTCCCCTGCTCACGCAGGGACACCTATAGCACGGGGCACAGGGCTGMRTCCAAGCRGGTTTWAAAGATCTCCAAAGGAGGAGACTCCACAACCTGTCTGGGCAGCCTGTTCCAGGGCTCTGTCACCCTCACTGTCGAGAAGTGTTTCCTTAAGTTCCTGTGGAACTTTTGGTGCCTCAGCTTGTGGCCCTTTCCTCTAGTCCTATCACTGGCCACCACTGAAAAGAGGCTGCCCCCCTCCTCCTCACTGCCTCCCTTGAGGTATTTATA